CTTTTCCTAAAGTGTCTCAAAATGACCACACAGAAATGGGTGGAAAATAATGGCATGGAACGTAATTCAGGGTTTTTCAGAATCGTCCAATATTTAGGAATATAGGAATAGTTTTTAATTTTAGAAAATATGCTTCCTCACTTCCCTGTTAAGAGTCAAATGAGAAGATTGATATCAGTCATGTGAACTTAGAGATTTGTTATTTTTGGACCTAGCCAGGCTAACTGTTTGCCCCTGTTTCCAGTGTTTGTGCTAAGCTAAGCTAACAGGGCATGGTTACAACTTCAGTATTCATCATCAGTCTTCTCGGGGGCGGCTGTGGCTCAGGAGGTAGAGCGGGTCATTTCCTAACCGGAGGATTAGCGGTTTGATTCCCGGCTTGTCCAGTCAACATGTCGAGGTGTCCTTGAGCAAGACACTGAACCCCCAGTTGCTCCCAGTGATATCACCGGTGTGTGAATGCGTGAGTGCTTGGGAGTGTGAATGGCCGAATAATGTGAAAGCGCTTTGAGTGTGCTGTAAAAGCATAGAAAGGCGCTATACAAGTATAAGACTGTTTACCATTCTCATCTAACTCGGCATGAAAGCAGATGAGTTATTTTCCAAAAGGTTAATCTCTTCCTTTAAAATAAAATTGATGTATGTCCAGATTTCACCTGAGTTTACTTGGATGGCAAACATACACCTAAGAGTTGAGTTTGACAGACATTATACATGCTCATACATAGTTACTACCCCTTAAGGCTTTCTTAAACCTGGGCATGGCTGCCCTTTACAGGCCTTAACACAGCCGACTGCCTGAGGTAAAGCAAAATGAATTATCTGTATTATTTACGAGGGCTACTGCAACCCCCAATAAAATTATGCTTCTCTGCCCCACTAGATCATTTTTCCTTTGACAGTCCTAATCTGCCCTTATACAGCAGATTTCACTGACATAATAAACTTCATAAGAATTATTTGTGATGCACGCAGTGAGGGTAGAGGAATGCCAGTCACCATGTTCTTCACAAGAAAGGTCATCAAATGTTAATCACATTTTGTGAGCCAGCGTTTCCAACAATTATGACAGGAATTAATAAGAGGGCGTGTTGAATTGGCTTTCCTTGTTTGACCAACACAGAATGACCTTTAGATGGAGTTGTTCAGTAGCATTAGAAACTTTTTTCTTTTACCTGAGAGGTTCTGCACATGATGGATTGTTTTCGCTGTGTTTCACCCTCGTGTAAACAGTGATTAATATTGAGCAACAAACAAAGGTCATTGTAATATATTTATAATTGCATTAACATAGATGAGAGATATTATTACAGCATATCACACATGACAAATATGATAGATTGAAACAGCCACTAGAGTGTGGAAGATGCCATGCATGAAAACCAGATGGTCACAAGCTCTCGATGTTTCCTGCGAACAACCTATTTTTTACAGGAATACCATGATCAGTGTCACGTTATTACACACATTTACACCTGGAAGCGGCCCAGTACAACCAGTAACTGGAGTTCAGGGCATTGCTTGAGGGCACTGCAGGGGTATTGATGACACCAGCAGGATATATACAAGTTTGCTTCTCTAACCTTTAAACCACCACTGACCCAAATCATGTTCAGTATCATGTTGGGGATGAAACATGGCTTGTCAGAGTTATCAGACGCTTTGTTTATAACAAAGCTTGTTTTACATAATCTCAGAAAATTTCAAACAAGCCAAAGGTCTTAAGTGTACACTGCAGCATACTTTATATTTAGGGCAGCTCAATTAGCACAACATTGTAATAGGTCAGCTGGGTTTCAGTTAAGAACAAGGAGGGCACCATCAACACAAAGCTGCTAATGGGGGCCGTATTGAAGCTGTAAATGAATATAAATATCTTGTTATTCAAAACTATTATGGCACTCTAATACAGATGTCACTTTACAGCGATTACTTTTCATGCGTAAGTTTCGACAGTTTGGTGTGGATAGACATTTACTGGTACTTTTCTATCATTCTAGCTTTTTGCTTTATTGCTTGGTATTTCTCACTGTCTGTAAAACCATTAATGTCTAGTAAGATCGCAGGTAAACAGCATCATGGTCTGACAGTGCTTTGAGTCCTGAGCATTGAGAAAGGCCCGGGCAATTATTAGGGACATGTCACGTCAGTCTGTGATGTCACGGCGTCAGTCTGTGTAGTGAATATGAGTTGCTACCATCTGATCGATGGTACAGAGTAGTGCCTGTACCCAGAGATCTTGCATACCCTCCAGTTACATTTACTAAACAAGTTTTTGTAAATGGGGTGGTACAGTGACGCAGTGGTTAGGGCTGTCGCCTCCGAGTAAGAAGGTTCCAGGTTCAAACCCGGGGCCTTTCTAATGATCCCAACATGTAACGATCCATCAGGCTTAATCAATGAAAAAGGTTCAGGTTGATGCTCACCTGGCCTCAGATTCTTTAACCATTACACTGTAAACACCCCCAGATCACTCCACTTCATGTTTTGGTGTCAAGTTTCTGAAGATGCTCTTTTGTCCTTTATTTGAGGACAGACTGAGCCAGGCATTAAAATAGTATTTTGTATAGAGCAGTTGAAAAAACCAAGAAGATGACAAATCAACCCAACGCTGTCCATGCATCATGATTTTTTGTACAGTAAAATTTCCTACTTTCACTCTCTGATACAATAAATATAATTTTTAATTAAAGACAAACAATATTTATTGACTTTTTATCCCCATGAATAATTTTACATTATGAAACACCAGAGGTAAACTGAGCCTGACTTGCTAAACAGAGCCTCTTTTGTTTTAACTGCTGTTACTTTTCAGCTGACAGAGTGTCGAGGGCCCCCCGCAGGACCCAGCCGCCGAAGACCCTGAACACGCCAGAAGACTCCACCTATTACAACCTGATTCATGTGAGTCAGAAAAAGGAGGCAAAATGATTTCAGATACTACAACAAAGCTTTGCTGCCAGATTATGTGGTATGGTAACAATTTTCCCTGCTGTTGCCTTCTCACAGTGCACTATTGAATGGCAATTTTTTCTCTGTCCTACTCTTTATGACGTAGTTTCCAAAGAAAAGATGTTTACAAAGTTGTCTGGAACAGTATTTTTCACATTTTATTAAATATGTTGGATAAATCAGTTTTCTTTAGGAGTTTATTTTTTGTGCTTAAGACAACTTTTTATTAAGTAGTCTCCTATTGTGATTATATATAATGCTTCATATTTTCTTCATGCAACACTTAGTAATATTTGATATTGTAGAAGTGTAGGTACATATTTAACAAGGTAACTGAAATACAAGACACTTTTAGACATTTGTTCCTAAACTGGGGGTTAAAACCTCCTAAGGAGTCCTACAACAAAACAGAGGGATCATGAATTGATCCAGATAGACAAGCTAAACACTTTGGCGGCCACAGTTCTAAACCCAGTGTTTGCACTTTACCTGAACACAGGTCTTGGCAGCGTTTGATTGACATGTAGTAATCTGTCCTCTGTCTTCTCCACTCAGAGGTCCATCCAGGATGAGAAACGCAAGACCAAGAAAGAGGAGTAAGTGTCCAGTTCTTGTTTCAACCTAATTTTAACAACACATCATTGTGTTTTAAGAGGTTGGCCTGCTGCCCTGTGCCAATATAAGTATGGTGTCTGGGTCCAAACCTAACTGCTCGGAGCATTATACATATCCTCAGTGAAATTAATTAGCCTTATCTTTCACCTCTGTAACACTGGCTGAATACAATATACTCAATTACATTTAATATTAGGCATTGTAAATATTAGACATGGTGGTGTTACTTCCACTTAGACTTATTGTTTGGGGGATTGTTAGGTTTTTAAAATAATGCTAAATTTACCTGCAGATCAAATTTTCTACAAAAAGAGTGGCTAGAAAGTGTGTGTGGGTATGTGCATTCATGCATATGTATGTGTTCTACAGGCTATCAGGTGAGTGTACCTCCCAGTGTGAGGATGAGGATAGACCGATAGGGCTGGCTGAACAAGCAGGATGCTTTATCATAGCAGTCTAAAGAGACACATGCATCTTGATGTGCACATACACAGTGCTACACAGTGCTAAACATCAAGGGTAATAATTTGTTGGATAAATAAAGCCAGCAATGGACAGGAACAGTTTACATGCATCATTAA